TCCGCGACACCAAAAACCTCACCCCCGAACAAGTCTTAAATCACAGTGACCTTAACTCTTTAAGGCAAGAATACCAAACCCAGCAAACTGCCCAAATTCTCCATAATCCACCAAAACCATAACCACCCTTGCCTTATTAGCCAAACCCAAGCCCTAATACTCCCTCTTTCTCTATCACCAAAACCCACATAATTCCTCCTTAAATAATTCGCTCCGTAATTAAAAATTTCTCCACTTCCTGGCGCCTGTTCTAAGCAAAGTATTTCGCCAAACAACCAAAACTCCCTCTCTACTCAGCTTTTTTTGGCTTAAAAGCCATCACCCACAACTTTTAGAAAAGCGCCAATATACAGCTCACCTTGACCTTTTAGGCGAATAAACTGCCATTCTCCCTAACCTATAAACAAAAAAACAATAGTAATTAATTAGCTAAAATAGTGCTTCCAAGCAAGAGTCCTTAGTGCCAATTAGTCTTGGTGGGTGGTTTTGTTTCGCAATTGATTTTTCAGTAAATAAGGACTATTCACTGGGCTTTTTCGTTAAATTACTAGTAGGCTATTTTCTGTTTTTGCTTTTGGTCAACTGTGCTAAATCTTTCTTCACCAATCAACAAGTCAGACCAATACCAAGCACTATCCCTCAGGCTAAAAGAGAAGGCAAAAGGAGCCAAAAAAGATAAATGGGCAAATCAAGGATAATCATTATAAAGAGTTTTAATTAGTTAAGGTTTTTTAAATTAGTAGGCTGGCAATGCGGGTTTTTTAATTTACTGAGAATTTCTGAGAGCAATTGCTCAATCTCAGCCAAATTTAACTGAGCGCCACGAAGGTTTACGAGCCTGTTGGGAAAAATTCCGGCTGACGACCTAGTGAAAGAATTTGCTACTGTTTCGCCCGAAGCAGTTTCTTTCCTTAAATAGTTAATAATTCAAATAAAAAAAACATTATTTATTCTACTTGCTCTCGGGGAGCAGTTTAAGAAAATCAGCCAAAGAATTAGCATCAGCTTTCTTGAAATGGTCATTTTCACTAATAGTTTCTTGGAGTTGGCGAATTTTTTCTTTCAGAGTCGGTTTATCATTACGAGAAATTAACTCAGCAAAATCAAATTCTAAATGAGATTTGGTAGTATAATAGTTATGAAGCAATTGGTATAAATAGCGATATTCTGGCTGAGAAAAAAAGTAGTTTCCGGGTTGAATTAGCAATCAATAACGCCGATTTTGGCAACAATAAGCCAGTAATTTCTCTTCCTTACTAGTTTCTTTGTTTTCTGTTTTGGCCTGAGCAGCAAAATAAATTTCTTTGACTTCTTCTTTATCTCAATTGGTCAGCAAATTCAGTTTTTCCAGCAAAAATTCTTGGACTTTGACCGGAAAATTGCGAAACAAACCAGCTATTTTTTGAATGAAATTAGTAGTACTCTGAGGATTTTCTCGAATCTCCCATCTTTGGGCAAAATGCTGTAAAATAAACAAATACGGGTCTTCTTTTTTTTGGCAAATTTGCCCCAGTTCTTCCTTTTTCTGCTGGCAAATTTCGTCAGGGTCCAAAGGCAAAGAATGATTAATAACTTCACACTCAATCTCTTGGGCTAAAAGAGCAATCGCTAATTTGATCGTGGCTTGTTTTCCGGCCGTATCACCATCCAAAAAAAGGATAATTTTTTTTTTGAGTTTTTTGAGCAGATTAAATTGCTGACTACTCAGGCTGGTTCCCAAAGCAGCTAAGCAATTGTTCACCCCGGCTTGGGTTAAACTGATAACGTCAAAAAACCCTTCTACTAAATAGCAAAAATCTACTTCGGGCATTTGTTTAACCCGAAAATAATTATACAAAAAATGGGATTTTTGGTAGCCTTCGTAATTTGGTAAGTGAAGGTATTTATTTTGGGTTATATCTAAGCCAGTTGTTTCGATTTTGCGAGCGGCAAACGCCACAATTTCTCCTTTTTGGTTTTGTAGAGGAATGATCAATTGATTTTCGGTAAAAAAATCAGCAATTTTATTGCTTTCCTTATTTCGCAAAAGGTTGGTTAAAAGCAAATTTTTGGCTGCTTCATCGTCTGGCAAAAATAAATTAGTTAATTGTTGGTGGTTGACCACGCAGCCAAGTCCAAATTGTTGAATAGTTTCCTCAGTAAGTTGCCGTTTTTGTCTTAAATAAGCAGATACTTTTTTTCCTGACACCGATAATAAATTATGCTGATAAATTTCGGCTACTAAGGAAAATAGTTTTTTTTCTTTGCTCGTTTCTTCTTGCTCCAAACAATTCTCTTCGGAACCAACATAATAACCTAATTGTTTGATTTCCTGTTTGGCTTTAACTACACTAATTTTTTTGATTTGGGCTCATAATTTAAAAACATTTTCTGCTCAAAAATCACAACCAAAGCATTTAAAAAATTTCTTTTCCGGTTCAAAAGTGAATGACGGAGATTTCTCTTGGTGAAAAGGACAAGGGGCAAAATAATCTCGCCCTTTTTGGAGGAAAGATAAACGCAATTCTTTTTTTAATAGTTGAAGAATATTCTCTGCCGAAAGCGGAAACAGATTTTTTTGGTCCATATCATTTTTTTACGTTTAATTAGTAAATTTAATTCTTAATGCTTTTTTATTAAATAAAGTTTAAAAAAATGAGAGAGTTCGTTTTCTTAGGCACGAAAGCCCAAAAAATCTTGCCGATTGAAAAAAATTATGCTCGCTCAACTCCAATTATTTTAATTCATGTATGGGGTTGACGATGACCCTGCTTTTTTTTGTAGCGTTTTTTGGCTTTATATTTGAAAATAATGATTTTTTTGCTTTTGCTACATTTTTTCACCACTTCTGCAATTATTCGCATATTAAGATAAGGCTGACCAAATTCTGCTTCATAAACTAAAACTTTGTCAGAAACAATTTTATCTCCCACTTCTTTATCTTTTTGGTAGTCAATTGAAAGAACTTTATTAATAATGGATTCTTGACCTTTTATTATTTTGACCCGGTCTTCTATTTCAAATATATACATATTTTAATTTTTACAGACTTAATCCCTTTTCTTTTCGTCTATATACAAATAGATATGAAAGATTTAGCGTTGTGAGAAAAATAGCAATTGATGGTTTAAATATTGCTTCTAATTACCCCGTGCCATTAAACATTTGGGAATTAGAACAGAGCAAACAATAAGCAACGGAAAAGGCTAAAAAATTTGAATAATTGCTTTTGCTAAAAATGAATTATAGAGGAAGAAAATTTTCAGGATAAAAAAGGAAAGATGAAAACACTAAGGAGGATTGAAATTAACTGCCATCAGAAAGTGAAAAGATTGTAAAATGCTCGAGCAAGGCAAAAAGGCTAAAATGAAACTTCCTTTTTTACCAAAAAAAAAATGGGGGCAAAATTTTTTACTTGATAAAAATCTCCTTCAAAAGGTCGTAAATAGTTGCCCAATTGATCAAAGAACAATAATCGTGGAAATCGGCAGCGGCTATGGACATTTGACGGATTTTCTAGCAAAAACTAGTTGTTACCAAATAATTAGTTGTGAAAAAGACGTACAACTTTACCTTTGACTACAAAATAATTGAAATGAGGAGCAAAAAAATAAAACTATTTTTCTCCACCAAGATGCTTTAAAAATCAATTGACTGGAAATTTGGCAAAAGTATGCTGATGACCAGCCTTTAAATTTCCTCATAGTGGGCAACTTGCCTTATGCAATTGCTAATTCTTTAATTTTCAACTTATTAGAGAATATTGAAATACTCCAAGTTTTAGTTTTTTTAGTGCAAAAAGAAGTTGCCCAAAGATGGATGGCTTCGCCCCAAAAGTACAAAAAAGAATACTCTGCTTTGTCCGTTTATATTTCTTCAATTGCCCACGTTGAAATTGTTTTTCCCGTACCAAAACAATGCTTCTTTCCTCAACCAAAAGTTGATGGTGCTTTAATCCGCTTAGAAATAAGAAAAGAAATTCCACTAGAAAAAGAAAAACGAACTAAATTTTGGACTTTTTTGAAAAATTGCTTTCGGCACCGGCGTAAAACTCTTTATAATAATTTACTAATTGCTTCTTACCGGGAGGAAAAAATTAGGGAAATATTTCAACAATTAAATTATGAAAAAAACATTCGTCCTCAACAATTAACTATCCAAGATTTTTTAAATGTTTTTCAGTTTTTTTGTGGGTAAATATTTTGGTAAATTTTGTTAAACCAAGAAGCATACAGTTTTTTCTTTGTTTCGATATGATTACTGCTGACAAAAAGAAGTTTCACTGCCTCTTGCTGTTTATTTTCTAATTGAGTTGCTAAATCAGTAATTTATCTTTGTCCTCTCTTCTCTCTCTCTCTCTCTCTGTTTTTTTCTCCAAAATAAATGGCCAATTAAAACAAGACCACTAAGTAAAAATACGCCAAAGACAATTAACTTTGTGGGAAAATTGCCTTTGTTGTTATTGTCTTGGTTAACTGTTGGTTGTTTTTTGCTAGTATTTTCTTTTGTTTGCTGTTCCTCTTTTTGCGGAAAAAAGCGAAAATTTTGGTGTTCAGCAGCAATTTCTTGGGCAATTTGTTGAAAAGTTTCTTTGCCGGCCTTGGCATCACCTTTAATATCAATTTTTTTTCTTTCTGGCGGGTGATTTAATATATCGTCGACGCCAGCAAAAACTTCGTTCAGTAATTTTCTATTTTCGGGCTTGTTTAAGTCAATTTCGGCTATTTTTTTTCTCTCATTTGTTTAACCAAATTTGCTCACCTTCCTTCTAATATTTCGTTAATTTCGAATAAAAAATGTTTTAATTTTTTGGGCAATTTTCAGCGGCAATTCCGACGGCATTTATTCACTTATAATATTCCTCTTGGATTTTTTTGCGAAAAGGTTCGTTTTTGTCTTTAACTGACGCTACTATGATAAACAAATCAGTTAAAAATACATCTTCAAATACTTCGGCTGTGCTATCGCTGTCGGCAATCGACTTTCGGTAAATTTGCCTTTTACTTTCTCAATCAGAATAATAGCCCATTTTTCCAATATATTCTTCCAATGGTTCAAGCGTATTATAAAAAGTATCAAGCACTGTCTGAAATTCATTTTCTTCTTTATTCATAATAGTTAAAATTTTATAATATAATTAAGTTTTTTTGTTTTCCTTATTACGGAGCCATGAAAGCCTTAAAAATCTTTTCTGCTCGTAAATCTTTTTGGAGGTAGCCTTTAGGGGTGAAAAAAACTCCTTCTTTGGCTAATTTCTTTTTTTTGATATTTAGTTCTTTGCCACGATAGCCACCAAGAAAAAAATTTGATTCAATCACCCGGTGGCAAGGAACTACTGCGGAAGCAAAAGGATTCTTTCGTAAAGCCTGCCCTACTGCCCGGGGGGAACTCCGCAAAATTTCCGCAATTATTTTGTAAGTTGAAACGTAGCCGGGGGGTATTTGGGCACAAAGTTGGTAAACTTGAAACTGAAATTTAGTGAATTCTTTTTGCTTATCCATGTTATGTAATTTAGTTTTTAATAGCATTTTTTCTAAACTAACCTCTGAACCAAGAGCAATTTTTATTATTTCGCAGCAAAAAAAGCCTAAGTTTCAATCATTATTTTAATATCAATACATTCTTGACTTGTCTTTTCCTTTTATGCGCAGCATTTCCTTGAGGAATTTACTCATTTCTTTTTGTTGGAGACCCTGGGCTCGGTTATATTCAAATGTATGTTTTATCGCTTTTTTGAAATCTTCATTATTGATGGCTTTTCTTCCCCGCGAATAGGCAATGGCCGGCGCCTCTTTGTAAATTATTTTTCTGATGTCGGCTCCGACAAATAAAGGACGAGGAGGAACTTCTTCTTCGTCAAATGCTTTTTCTTTTTCTCATTCTTGTGTTTTTGGGTTAAATCTTTGCCCCCCCAGCTAATTCGTTTGGGCCTATTTCGTACTCTTTATTTTCGGTGATTTCTTTAAAAATGAAAGCTGAAAATTCTTTCACAAAAACTGCCTTATTTTTGTTGCCAAAAAGCCCGGGTTCATCTGGGTGAACTTCGTCATAAAATGAATTTAGAGTGGTTTCAACAATATCTTTTAATTAATCTTTTTCCGGAAAAGTAATTAATAATTTTTTGCCAAATCTTTCCGAGCGAAAGAGAGATAAATCAATTTGTTCGGCTTTGTTAGTAGCGGCTATAATAGTAATGCCCGGATATTTTTTCTTATCAATCCCGTCCATAATGGTGTTTCATTCTGTGCATTTTTCCCTACTTTCTTCGCCCTCGCTCATTTTTTCGAATTCGTCAATAAATAAAATACAGGGTTCGCCTTTGGTTTCTTTAACTACTCCGCTCAGAAATAGTTTTATCCTTTCCTCTTTTTCTTTTCGGTCTTTACCGGCAAATTGTCCACCAGTCGCGCAAGCAAAGAAAGAACCAGAATCCTTGGCTACCGCTTGGGCCAGCAAAGTTTTTCCGGTGCCGGGTGGACCATAAAGGAGCACGTGTTCGGGTTCGATGGGAAATTTTTTGTTTTTTCTCTTTTCTTTAATTAATGCTACGTTTAACTTCAATCTGTCTTTGGCAACTTTTAAGCCGCCAATTTGGCTTCAAGTAGTTTTAACATCTTGGGAATCAATAATATATTTTTTTCTTTCTTCGGCTGCTTGCTTTTTGGCTTCTTCCTCTTGGGTCTGTTTCTTTCTCGCTTCGTTTTCGCCCGACAAAATATCTCCGATTGCCGTGTCCGGAAACTGTTTGCCCTTTTGGTATCTATTTCAGAAAAATCCAACACTCGTCACCACTAATACCAAAGCCAAAAACTTTTGCCAAGTAAAGAAAGTTCTTTCTCGAAATTGAATATTGGTTTGAGGCAAATAGTCCTTGAGTTTATTAGCGGTTAAGTAACCTTGTAAAGTTTGTTTGTGAGAATAAATAACAAAAGCAATTTGCTTGGTGCTTCTGGCTCGGCTTTTTAAAGCAATCATTCCTTCTAAAGCAACGTAAGAAGAACCCCGAAAGCCGGTTATTTCTAAGTTGGCAATTTTTTCTACAGTGTAGTTAGTTTTTTCATCCAATGAATAGTTTTTGTTTTGAAAGATTTGGTCTTGCTGACTAGCCGGAATATCAATTCTGGTTAATCATTTAACTAATTTTCCGGAAAGATAAAAGTAAACAAACAATAAAGCAAAAACATAACCAACCGTTAAAGCAATGCTCAACAAAGTATCAACATTTTTGGTGTTTCAATCCCGAATATAACTTCTAAATACTTGAGTGAGAGTTTGTTTGCCAAAAATATACTCTGATTTCCAAATTGCCCAAACTAACAATCCACCTCCAACATAGCGTAATAATTTCACTAACCTGACAATTCAAACATTGCCGAATAAAGCGATTTTGATTTTATTGATTTGTTCTTTTGAGCCCATATACAGGTTTTTAGCGCTTATCTTTCCTAGCAAAACAACTCTCTCTCTTGCTGGTCTATATACTAATTTAACAATAGTATATAAAGAGCTAATTCCGCTTAATTATGGTGCTTATCGAGATGAATATTTATGGTGAATTTTTTACGAAAGAGGAAATTTTAAAAATGCCAAATTTTTCCCTTGTTAAATATCGCAAAAGTTATGGCAAAATTTATCTTTCTATCAATTGTTTGAATTTGGTCGGCTCCAGCACCATGCTTTTTTTTTAGAAACCGCTGCTAATTTAGTCTACGAAATTAGCCTAAAAATAACTTATTATGGCAATTAAATTAAAACATTATCAAAAAGAAATAAGCGAGAAAGACTTTAAAAAGGCTGACAAAATGGTGAAAGTTTCTCCACCTAAAAAGTGAAAAAAATAACTTTTAAGTGTAAATTTGTATATAATTGCCAAAATTTATTAAGCATGAGCAACAAAAGTGAAAAAATGGATCTTCCGTTTCCCGGCGGGGAATGAGAAAGTTTTAGGCAAAAATTTCTTCAACAGTGCCAAAAAAAACTTTCCCAGCCAGAAAGTGAAAAATTGTGAACACAAATTGCCAATAGTAGTGCCTATACTTTCAATAAATCACATGCCGTAGCTTACAGTTACTTAAGTTATTATTTTGCTTTTCTGAAAGCGAGTTATTTTCCTTCCTTAATTACTTATTTTCTCAATAATTGTTTAAATTCCTCGGAAAAGACTTTAACTTATCTCCAAGAAGCTATTTTTTTTGGCTTTATTCCCCACAAACCAGATATTAATTTTTCCAAAATTCAATGGAGCCAAAAAGATAAAATTTTACGGATGGGTTTTGCCAGCTTGGAAAATTTTCAACCCACCTTTTTTGAAGCAATAATTGCCGAAAGAGAGAAAAAAGGAAAATTTCGCGATTGAGAAGACTTCATTCACCGCACGAACAGCCATTGAAAAAAAACTGACTTGACCACCTTTCAAAACTGAATTGAAATTGGTTTATTTACTAGTTTAAAAACAAACACCAGTACTTTACTGGAAAACAGTGAAATTATTTTTCGTTATTGCCAATTAAAGCAAAATTTCCCAACCACTTCTCGGTTTTTGCCCACTTTGGACTGATCGCAAGACAAGAAAGACAACCAAAAAGACATGACCCAAAGCGGGCTTATAAACAATGATGAAAATAGGAAAGAATGAGAAAATTGAGGAATTTATCTTAGTTATTTTTCGGCTTGAAAAGAAAGAAAAAAAAGCACACCAATCCAAGCCTTTGCTGACTTTTTTGCCAGTTGCAAAAAACCAACTAGCCAAGAGACGATCCAAATTTATGCTATTCTTCAAGAACTGCAAATGAAAGGAAATTTTTTTGTTTTAACTTTATTTGACTTACGCTCAACTATTAAATTAATTATTAGTAAAGAGTTTTATCGAGAAAACAAAGAAACTTTAGTTATCCACCAAGCAATAGTTTTTCATTTAGCAATACAAATCGATAACTACAAAGTACAAAATATTAAAGCGGAAAAGATTGAATTATAGTGTAGCAAAATTAATTTTTTACTTTTGCTGTTTAATGCTTCGCGTGGCAATTAAGTCTAAAACAAAGTTTACTTTGCCAACAGGAATATTTTATTGAAAAAGACCTACAAAAAAGTATTCAAACAAATTCTTTCTTGCCCGGCATTGTGCAAATGTAATGTTTAAAAATATATATTAATGAAAACTTTAAAACCAGCTAATAACGGTCAAAGAAATACTATTTTAATTGATTATCGGCAAAAACTTCACTCCGAAGTCAAAAAGTATCCGCGAAATTTGTTCAAAAAATTGTCCTCGCACGCAGGAAGAAATAACCAAGGCACAATTACTACTCGCCACCGCGGAGGCGGCCATAAGAGAAAATATCCAACTGTTGATTTCAGACGTTATTTAAAAGATAATATTGAAGGAATAGTCAAGGGGCTTAAATATAGTCCTTATCACACCTCTTTTCTTTGCTTTGTCAGTTACCGCGACGGTAGCAATGCTTTTATTCTTGCTCCCGAGGGGTTAAAAGTTGGTGATAAAATTTTAAGTGGTGAGAAGGAAAATATCCCTATCCAAACTGGAAATAATTTGCCTTTAAAGTTTATTCCTGCGGGCACCTTTATTCATAATATTGAACTAAAACCCAAAAAAGGTGGTCAATTAGCAAGAAGCGCAGGAAATTATGCGATTGTTCGTGGTTCTGATGAGGACAAAAGATATATCCAAGTTAAATTACCCTCCAAAGAGGTGAGAAAAATCTTGGCTGAATGCCGAGCAACTATCGGAAAAATGAGTAATTCAGAAAATAATTTAGTGAGAAAAGGAAAAGCAGGAAGAAATCGTTGAGCAGGAATTCGTCCCACAGTGCGGGGTTCAGCCATGAATCCGAATAGCCATCCCCATGGCGGTGGGGAAGGAAAAGCTTCCATTGGCCGAAAATCTCCCCTTAGCCCTTGAGGCAAGAAAACTTTGGGCAAAAAAACTCGCCGGAAAAATAAGTCATCGAGCAAATTTATTGTGCGTTCTCGGCACCAAATAAAGTAAAATAATAATATATGACCCGTTCTTCTTGAAAATTGCTGAATGTTAACCCAAAGTTAGAAAAAAAATGCGAAAAAGCTAACCAGGCTGGGAAAGTAATTACTTTGAAAGTTTACCAAAGAGGGACAGTGATTAGCGACAAGATGGTCGGGCATATTTTTTTGATCCACAATGGCAAAAAATTTATTAGTCTTCAGGTCACTCCTGACCACGTTGGTTATCCATTCGGTATATTTTCTCCGTCACGACGAAGTGGGGTTCACGGAAAGGCAGGAGCTCGTTAAAAATAGATTATGAAGAAAAATTTGTCTTCTCCTAATAGTTTAGTTAATCGCAGCCGTTCCTTGGCAATTTCTCCCCAAAAATTACGACCAATAGTTAATTTAGTCAGAAAAAAAGAAATTGATTATTCCTTAAACACTTTACGCTTTTTGCCCCAAAAAGGAGCACGAATACTGCATAAAATTCTCCAAGGGGCAATTAAGCAAGCAACGCAAAAGACCAAAAAAGAAAAAGAAATTTTTTACATTAGCCAAATTCAAGTGGACCAAGGAAGTATTCGCAAAAAATTAATGATCCGAGCCAAAGGAAGTGCCAATACTCTCCGGCAAACTACTTCTCATTTGTTTTTATGTTTAAGTCCAAAGGAGGAAAGTAAATAGTGGGTCAGAAAGTTAGTTCCTACGTTCTGCGCTTAGGACTTAATCAATCTTGACAAAGCAATTATTTTCCGGTCAAAAAAGAGCAGGCTAATTGATTAAGGCAAGACAAGTTAATTCGGGATTATCTTTTTTCCCGTTTTCCCGAAATTACTCAAATTAAAATTGAACGTACCAAAGTTGAGTTATTTATTTTTGTTCATTCTCCCAACACTAGTTTAATTACTGGCGAAAGCAACGACAACTTAGACCAAATTTTAACTAAAATTACTGATATTGTTAACGAGAAAAAAATTGTTACTAAACTGCATTTAAAGGAGGAGAGAAGAATCTACACCTCGGCTCAAGCCATCGCTAATGATTTAGCCCACAAATTGAAAAGCCGGGTTGGTTGAAATTCACTTCGTTACGATCTCCTCAGGAAAATTGCTGACGAAAAAGAAAACCAAGGGATTAAAATTCGCGTCAACGGTTGCTTAGAAAAAGGAGGAATTGCTCAGCATAAGAAAATCAACCAAGGAAGAATGCCTTCCAATACCCTCGATAGCTTAATTAAAGAGGCGAAAACGGAAGCTAATACTATTTATGGGCAAGTTGGAATTACCGTTCAAATTTATAAAGGAAAGAGAAAAAAATTAAAATATGTTAACGAACTTTCAATCCGTAAATAATCATAGTTTATCTAGAATTAACCATGACTACTTTTTTATTTCATCTATATATTATTTTTATTATCTTTGTCTTTTTTAAGATTGCGAACAACAATTTCGCCAATCTCGGAAGTATTTTTAACGTGGGTTCCTCCGCAAGAATGCGGGTAAAAATCACCAATTTTTACTGCTCTAATTTGGCTATTGTTTTCAATTTTTATAGCAATATTTTTTTTTACTAGTTCATTAACCAAATTGCTAATTTTTTCTTTGCTTTCTTGGATATTAGTCGGGATTTCGCCTGTGAAAACAACAAACGCTTGACCATTTGGGAAGTGGTTGCCTCTGATACCTTTTAAAGAAGGAAAAATTTGCCTAATAGCGTCTTCTAGCAAATGACCGGCAGAATGTAAACGAGAATAGAGAAGGCGTTTTTCCATATCAATAACTTGAATAACTTTCTGTTCTTTTAAAAAATTTGCTTCTCCTTGGTAATAGTGCTTAATAATATCTGACTCCTCATGAGGATTACGGGGTGCTGCTAATTTGTTAATATTATATTGCTTGCCATTTACTTCCAAATAGCCTTGGTCGGCCGGTTGTCCGCCGCCCTGCGGGTGAAAAATAGTTTTATCAAAAATCACATAACTGCCATTTTCGTCTTGACCCATTTCTAATATTTTTGCTTCAAACTTATTTGCGTAAGTATCAACATAGTATATTTTTGTTGTAGAAATATGCCCGGTCATTATTTTTTCTTCTAAACTGGTGGATCCGGTCGGGATCGAACCGACTACCTTCTGTGTGCAAAACAGACGCTCTACCAAGTGAGCTACGGACCCTAGTTTAAATAAATCATTTATTAAAATTTTTGCCTATCACTTATTTTTTCTTCCAACAGTTCATTTTGTAATTCTCTAACTTCGTCTCTTATTTTTCCACATTCTTTGTCTAACTTCGATTTTTTACTTATGATTATCATGATAATTCAGCCTATTACGGGCAAAAAAATTCAAAGAATTCACCAAAAACTTTCTCATACTTTGGCTCTTTCTGCTTCTTTTTTTTGTAAATCTCTACGCAAAAACTCTAACCTGATTTCTTTTCTACTCATATAATAAATATTTTTATTGGGGCGGATAAGGAGAATTGAACTCCTGAATCCTAGTGCCACAAACTAGTGCGTTAACCACTTCGCTATATCCGCCATGGAGCGAGTAACGGGAATCGAACCCGTATCCTCAGACTGGCAGTCTAGTATTCTACCGTTGAACTATACTCGCAGTTGGTATAACTAATTTTTAATTTTCCTCTTTCAATTTTTGTCTATGTAAAGCAAATATGAAATCAAAAAGCAAAAAGCGGGCAGTTTGCCGACCACGAACCTCAACGGCTAAACAAACCTAATCAAGAATTTTTTTTTTTTTACATTGAAAACATTGAACCTTTAACGGCTTTTTAATTATCGGCATATTTTTTTAATTTTTGCGGCAGCCGAAGAGCCTGCATGACAGTACGAATATTTTGTTTTTCTAAGTTTTGTTCGTTTCTATTGCTAGGTTGAACTACCCCAGCCGTTTTTCCCTCAGCATTCGCGCCATTAGGTTATGCTTTCTCTTTTCATAATTTTTTATTAACTTCTGTTTGATTATTGTTTTCAACTTCAACTCGGGACTTAATTTTGCTTTTGTGGACGAATCTTTCAATCGAGCGAAAAACACAAGCACAAGGATGACAAGTTTCTTTTAACTCTTTTTCTACTTTTCCTCAATCAATTTGGTATTCTTGAACTAACCTTTGGGTATAAATTTGCAATGTTCGCAAAAATTCTTGTTGGTGGATTAAACTATCTTCCAAATCAAATAATAATCTTTGTTGTTTTCTCGCTTTTCTTTTTAATCTTTGGATAGTTTCTTGATTGTCTTTTAATTTTTGGAGAATTTGGGTGATGATTGCTGCCATTATAAGAATTTTTAATGAATTATTGATTTTCCATTTAAATTTTAAGCATTTAATGGTTGATAATCACTGCTAATATTGTCTTTTATTTTCTCCCATACTTGTAAATAATTATCCACGGGAATAATGGTTAATTTTTCTTTAACTTGGGCGGGAACTTCGGGCAAATGTTTAGCATTTTCACGAGGAATAAACACGGTATTAATAAACTTGTCCTCGTAAGCCGCTGTTAATTTTTCCCGTAAACCACCAATTGCCAAAACTTTTCCTTTAAAACTAATTTCTCCGGTCATACTGTAATTGCGAGGAATAACTTTTCCTTTTAAGGCGGAAATAATGGCTGTCGTTATCGTAATGCCGGCACTGGGACCATCCTTAGGAGTAGCTCCTTCGGGAAAGTGAAGGAAAACATCATTTTCTTTAATCGCTGCCTCAGTTATGCCAAGGGCTGGGTAATTAGCCCGCACGTAACGATAAGCAACTTTGGCTGACTCGTTCATTATTTTGCCTAAATTGCCGCTGGATTCGATTAATTTACCGTGTTTTCCTTCGGCTGGTAAGCAACTGGCTTCCACTGGCAAAATAACTCCGCCCATTTCGGTTCAAGCTAAACCGTTAATTACTCCTGATTGGGAATAATCAGTTAAGTCTCCGTGACTGGTTTCTCTTGGTCCTAGATACTGGTGAACTTTGGCTAAATCAATTATTTCGCTCTTTAAGTTATCCATTATTTGCTTCTTAGCAAATTCACCAGCAATTCTTTCAAAAATCTTGGCCGTTGTCCGCATGCCACCAGTTTGCACGTAAAATTTGATAATTTCTTCAATGGCTTCGTCAGTAAAAGTTAATTGGTCCTTGGTTAGTTGGTATTTCGCCAAAGTTCGCGGGATTAATTGATTTTTGGCAATTTGAATTTTATCCAAAGTAGTATAAGGAGGAAGTTGAATGACATCCATGCGGTCGAGCAAAGGGGCAGGAATATCCTGAATTCAGTTGGCCGTACAAACGAAAAATACTTGGGAAAGGTCATAAGGAATTTCGATATAATTATCCATAAATTTTTCGTTTTGTTCGGGGTCTAAAACTTCTAAGAGAGCGGAGGAAGGATTACCATGTCAACTAGCAAAGGTGTTAACTTTGTCAATTTCGTCAATTAGAAACAGAGGGTTAATTACTTCGGCTTGTTTCATGCCCTGGATAATTTTTCCTGGCATGGCCGCAATATAAGTTCGGGAGTGACCCCGGATTTGGCTTTCATCGCTAATCCCGCCAACCGAGATTTTTACAAACTTCCTCCCGGTCGCTTTGGCGATAGATTGGGCTAAGGAAGTTTTACCAGTGCCGGGTGGACCAACTAAGCAAAGGATTTGCGTTTGCTTTTTTCCGGCTCTTTGTTTGCCGGCTAAATAGGTCAAAACTCTTTCCTTAATTTTTTCTAAACCAAAATGCTCGCTGTCCAATTCTTTTTTGGCCAGAGTTAAATCTTGATTTTCGGGAGAAGTTTGCCACCACGGAAGGGCCATTACTTTTTCGAGCCATTCCTCTAAACTTGCTCTTTCGTGGGTGAGACGAGTTGCTTGTAGTTCCCGAATTTTGTCCTTAATCTCTTTTTTGACCCGGGGAGGAAAGGGCTCACTATTTAAGCGTTGAAGGAAACGAGAAACTTTGCTTCCTCCTCATTCCATTTCTCCTCCGTCTTCTTTATTTCCGCTACTTGGCGTTCCCCCTGGCTTCATTTGTTCTCGATAGCGGCGGCGATTTTTTGCTTCTTGGATAATGTCGCGAGCAATGGTAAACAAATAGCCGAAAAAGAAAGTTAAAAGAACCAAATGAAAGAAGATTCGTACCCAAGAAAGTTGTTTTTTTCTTTGCACTTGTCAGGAAATTTCTTGGAGAGGGCTAAGTAATTGTTGCTTATAATAATCCAAAGGAGCATTAACGAAAAAATCAAGTTTTAAATAACTGCCCGCTTGGGGAATAATTAAAATTCCGTGGAAATTCACCATTTGACTGTGAAAGCGAACTTTTAAGTTGGCAATTTTTTCTACTTGGTATTCTTGTCCTTCTACTACTAATTTCTTTTCTTGGAGCACTTGGAAAAATTGGTTTTGGTCTATTTGGTAAGTAGTGAATTTTTTAATTAATCATTCAGTAAATAAATAATAGAAATAAGCCAGTATCAGAAAAAAAATGAACGGTAAAAAAGTAGCATCTAAATTAGCATTTTTGCCATTATAAACAGCAAATTTATAACTCAGCAAAAGCAAAAAAATTGCGCCAAAAAATAAATTGGTTACGCGGAGAATAGTTTTGGTTCAGCGATAAAAAAGGAAACTTTTAAACATTTTATATTGTAAATTTTACCACAATCTTAAAAATTAAAATCAGTATTTTACTATCCGCCTTGCAAACGTTATTTATTCCAAAAGCAGACTTAAAAACAACTATATGCCCGAATTACCCGAAGTAGAAAATGTTCGCCGCACTTTAATCAAGGCTAAAACAATCAAGCAAACTATCCAAAAAGTCGAAATTTATAACAACAAGCTAATTAAAGGAATTGAAGAAAAAGAGTTTGTTGATTTATTACTAGGGCAAACTATTCACAATATTGAAAGAAAAGGCAAATATTTATTCTTTATTCTCGATACTCATGTTTTAGTTAATCATTTAAGAATGACTGGAAAATATTTTTTGGAAGAAAAATTGCTTAGTCCGCACCACAAGCGAGCTGTTTATTTAACTTTTCATTTAAGCAATCAGCAAAAATTAATTTATTCGGACTTGCGCGGGTTTGGGATTTTTCACTTACAACCATTGACCGCTTACCAAAAACTAGAACCTTATAAAAAAATCGGAAAAGATTTATTGAATGAAGAAATTGACCCTGCTTATCTCTTCGAATATTACCAAAAGGACAAAAGTCCTATTAAAATCACTCTTTTGGAACAGGATATTATTAGCGGAATTGGAAATATCTATGCTTCGGAAATACTTTTTGCGGCCAAAATTCATCCGCTGAAAATCACGCAAACACTTACTTTTCAAGAAGTAGAAAGAATACTAAATTTTACTAAGGCTATCTTGCAAAAAGCCACCGAATTAGGAGGAACTTCCGTTGTTGATTTTGTTAATCCGTTGAACCAAATCGGACAATACCAGCAAGAATTACGAGTTTACGGCCGAGCGAGAAAACCCTGCTTTCATTGCGCTAATTTAATTGAACAAATAAAACTCAATGGACGAAGTACTTTCTTTTGTTCACAATGCCAAGCCGTCTAATTTTATTTTTTTACTGCTAGTTTTTTCTCATTTTTCTTGCGTCAAACTAAAAATACCACTAAACCAATTAATCCGGCTGCTCCTATTCCTGCGGGAATAATTATCTGTCAAGGTGTTCCATCCTTCTTGCCTTTGCCTGAATTAGGAGAGGAAATTTCAGCGGACTTAGTAGTTGGAGAGGAAGTTTGTTCTCCCGTTCCCGTTGAAGAATCAGTTGAATTTTTTTCTTCCTCTCTCTCTCTCTCTCTCTTGCTCAATAAGGCTTTTTAGGATTGACTGATATTTTTTTCAATTTTCTTGTTCTTTTTGGCCTAATTCAAGGAGTTTTTGCTTATCCTCTTCGCTCAGGTTTTTAACTTGCTTTAATTGTTCTTCTCCCTGCTTTGCAGTTGTAAGCATGTTTGGGATTAGAGAACTTAACCTTTTTAAAAAGCCTAATTCTTTTTCGTCGGGGGCTCCTTTCCTCTTTCTTTCATTGGTCGATAAAATCAAAATATTTTTTACCAATTTTAGTGCTGACTTCGCTGGCAAGAAAATGTTCTTCTTTGTCAACTTCTTCTAACGTTTTTGCCGGATTGTTAATGTAGACTGCTATTATACTTCCAATAAAGAAAGATTAGAATTGTTTAGTTTTTCCCTAATTACTTGTAATTGGGCTTTTCTTTTTTCACTTGTCATATTTATATTTTTTGTTGCTAATTCTTTGATTCATTCCAGCGGAGGAAAAAATTAAGCAAAACATTCTTGTTTTTCATTTGCCAAAAACTCTAAAATTTCTTTGTAAGCAAAATATGCTAAAACTCTATAATCGGCAACTAAAATCCGAAAAAGCAAAACAAAATAAGTAAATCATGCCCCTTAGAACAGAAAAAATTAGAAATTTCTCTATCATCGCTCATATTGACCATGGCAAATCTACCTTGGCTGACCGTATTTTGGAATTAACTAACTTTAAAAATAGCAAGCAAACACTCGAAAGGGTTTTAGATAGTTTAGCCTTAGAGCAAGAAAAAGGAATTACGATTAAACTTAATGCGGTTCAGTTATATTACCCTCCGGAAAGCCCCGAGCCTTATATTTTAAACTTAATTGATACTCCGGGACATTTTGATTTTCATTACGAAGTTTCTCGTTCCTTGGCTACTTGTGAAGGAGTAATTTTACTAGTAGACGCCATTAAAGGTATTCAAGCCCAAACTTTGACTTATTACGAAATTGCTCGGCAACAAGGGCTAAAAATTATTCCGGTCATTAACAAAATTGACTTGCCCCACGCCCAAGTAGAAAAAGTTCAAAATCAATTAATGGAACTTTTAAATTGCTCGCGGGAGAATATTTGCTTAATTTCGGCTAAAACCGGGAAAAATGTCGACTTGCTGTTAGAAAAAATTATTACTGATATTCCTTCCCCGCTCGGGAATAAAATAAAGAATTACGAGAAAGAAAAATTTACATCTGACTAATCAAGAAGAAATTAAGACCAAACAAAAGAGAAAGCAGAGAGTTAGGCGCACACCTCCACTACGACTAAAAATTTGAAAGAAAAATTGAAAAGAGAAAGAGAAGAGAGAAAACAAAGTTCCAAATAATTTCTTTTGTTTACTGTAAAATTTTATATTATTGCTTTTTTTTTTTTTGATAAGAGAAAGATAACTAAAATGATTAATGCCGCCGCTCCGCCTATAATAATTCATAGCAAATAATTAGTTGGTGTTTTGTTTGGGTTAGTGGATTGAGAATTTGTCAGAAAATTTGTCCGGTCTTGGTCTGGAACAGTGGAATTGTTTTCATCAGTTTTTGGTGATTGAGAACCAGAAGTATCATTTGAAGACGAAGGATTTTTTTCGGCCGGGGAACTTGGTTGGTTTATCTCATTGTCCGAATGGCTTGTTGCTGGTTGATTGTCATTAGTCGGCGGTTTATTATCTTTACCATTTTGGTTATTTGGTCCCTCATTATCTTCTTCAAATTTTTTGTATTCTTCATGAGAATAATATTTCGGTCGACTGTCAATTCTGACGTGTAAATAAGAAACTCCTAGCCCGCTGGTTGACAGCCACCGTGGATTACCATTCGCATTAAGCAAATTTTCTTCCATTTCCTCCCCGACTTTTTGTCAAAAATTTTCTTTTTGTTCTAGCGAAGCATTATTGTTAAATTCTCTTAGGTTTTTGTAATCCCGCATTTCGTCAACATATTCATTACAATTATACTGATAACCCCGCACAGGCATTGGCACTACTAGGGTATCCCCGCTTAAACTGGGAAAACTTACTACATGCTTATCCCGACTGCGGCTAAAATGTTCTTGGAAACTGGATAAATCTTGCCTAATATTATCTAAGTCTTCCGATTTCACGGCTACAAATTCAAATTCTCTGTCTAAGGTGTTCGCCGATACCGGAATACATTCCCAAAAAAAAGCGGTTGGTTGGAGAGAAAGTTCCGCCGGTGCTTGACTTAATTGGCGGTCAAACTCTTTAATAAAATCTTTATTTTTGCTTTTTAAAAAATTAATAAATTCCGCATAAGTTAGTTTACTATCATCGGCTTTTGTAAATTGATATTTAATTGTTTTATTGTCTAGTTTGGTTTGGATTGTTTTTATTTTCATAATCTCCCTAAAAAACTGACTGGTTTAAATTATCATTTGTCATTAGTTATTTTCTCCTTTCATATTTTCAATTTTTTTATTGGGAATTTTCATTCTGAGTTTAATTGTCTTTTTCATACTTTTTACCTCATAAGTTATTTTTAGCCTTTCGTCCATTAGTAATCACGAAGGAGGTTAATGCTCCTTTCGCTTTTAGTGAGTTGCTCCTGCTGTGCTTCCGTTGTTCTCTCGCAGTTTATTTTGCGGTGTTGTTAAGAGTTATTTAGTTTTTGCCTTTCCTTTCAAATTTGTTTCTGCCAACATCAATTCAATTAAAGTTTTTACCATAACACCAGTTCCGCGTTTAGTTTTAGTTTTTCAGGCTGTTCCGGCAATATCGCAATGAATAAATGGCAAACCTTCTACAAACTCTTGTAAAAAAGCAGCACCATTAGAAGCACCCATATAGCGGACACCACTGATGTTGCTAATGTCGGCAATAGAAGTATTTTCCTTTAAGCCTTTGCTATTTTCCGGAATTATTGGTAATTCTCAGTATCTTTCGTGCGATTTAGCAAAAGCTTGTCGCAATTCTCGGTAAAATTTTCGGTTATTGGTTAAAACGCCCGTTAAATTTTCCCCCAAAGCCGCTACTACTGCCCCGGTCAAGGTTGCCACTGTAAGGATTCTGGTGGCTTTTTCTTTACGAATAGCATAAGTAATCCCATCAGCAAGCACTAAACGACCTTCGGCATCAGTATTGTTGATTTCCACTGTTTTGCCATTCATTGATTTTATCACAGACTCCGTAAGAGTAGCGTGTCCCCCGATGGCATTTTCGGTTAAGCAAGCAATCGCTACTACATTTATTTTGGATTTTTGTTGTGCCAAAGACCAAACAGAGGCACAAACCGCGGCTGCTCCTGACATATCAAATTTCATGCATTGTAAATACTGAGAAGACTTTAAATCATAACCACCGCTATCAAAAGTAATTCCTTTGCCTACCAATCCTAAAATTTCTTTACTTTTTGGATTTCCTTTATATCTCATAATTACTACTCGCGGTTCATGGTGGCTACCCGCATTCACGGCTAATAGTAAGCCCATTTTTTTTTTTTCAATTTCTTTTTTTCCTAAGATTTCTATTTCAATTTGCTCTAATCGTTCAGCCAAGATTTTTTGTGTTTCTTGGGCTTTTTTGGCAACTGCCGGTTTATTTTTTTTTTCGAGAACTTGAATGACTTTTTCTATTAGTTCTTGATGATAAGAAGGCGAAGATATTTTTTTTATCGTCTCGGCGAATTCTTTGGCATGCAATTTATTGGGAGGCAAGTCTTGCAAATCACGAGCAAGTTTCACAGCCGTTAACTTAAAAAACGAATTAATTCAAATACTCTCAGTTTGCTTATTAGCAGTTATTAAATAATAAATAGTAAATTTTGGCTTTTTTTTGTCGGTCTTGCAAGTGACGGATGAATGACCACCAAACAATACTCCCTCACTAATAGCTTGAATAACTGTTTCTTCTTTTAAGTTATCACTAACAAAAGACTTAGCCTCAACGTTAATATCTCTTTCGTTGTTGCGGGAAAAATTAACAAAGAAATTATAAATTTTGTGAAAATTATAGTCTGCTGCTTGCTTATTTAAATAAAGATAATAAGTTTTTTCTTCGGAAATAAGAGTAATTTTGCCCTCTTTTTTTTCTACTAAATCAGGGAATTTTTCTTTTTCGGTAATTGCTTTTAGGGTTAACAAATTTTTTTGTTTTTTGTCTTGGATACGTAAATTAGTTGCCATATTGTATTTTTACAAAGTCAAGGAAAGTTGCTAAAAGAAAAACCGAAAAACTAGAAGGAGGAGAAGTAGATTTGAGTGAATATGTGGGTTTAGAGAAAGCACGACTTGAA